CCACTTTATTACTTAATTGATCTTCATTCAAAAATACTGGGGCTCAGAGTGTAGCTCAGTAGTAGAATGTTGTTTAGCATATGCAAGGCTCTGTGTACACTCCCCAGCACCAACAAAAAAAAATAATAATATTCATTTAACAAATATTTATTGAACAACTAGTCAAGCCTTGTCCTAGCATTATAACAGTGCTCACAGTCTAGTGAGAGAGACAAGTGGAGGCAGCTACAATAAATTTTATGCATGAATAAATACATGGGCTCTAAGAACACAAAGGAAGGCACCTGACGAAAGCTATTAAGAAGTGGTCAGCTACAGCGTCTTAATGGGATGGGGGGATGCATAGAAAGTACTGAAGGATGAGGCTAGCAGGAGCCTTGATGGTCTCAACAGTGCGAACTTGAGCTTGAGGGCAAAGGTGAGCCTGAACCTGGACAAGGGTTAAGCAGAGGTATGATACAATCTGCAGCAATTGGGGAAAGGGAATAGAAGCAGCAAGAAGAGATTAGTTAGAAGGCTTGGTAGTAATTCACGAATATAATCATGTTACCTAGGGTGGTGGCAGTGGGGATAGAAAGAAGGGAATGGATTCAGTAACCTCTAGGAGGCACAATCAACAGGATTTGGCAATTAACTGATTCTGACTAGAGAAAAGATGATTCTGAGGTAACTGACAGGACAGCCGAGTAGATGGTACCAGTCATTATTTGAGAGAATGCTGGAGGACACTCTCTGGGGAAAAAGGTAGCAGGAGAGCTTTAAGGATCCTGTGGCCATTGAGGTAAAGATGTAAGAGAAGCAGCTGGATATGCAGGCTTGGAGTTGAAGTGGAAGATGCAGCAGATTTCTTTTTTCCAACAGGATCTCAGCTGCTTTGTCGTTCTCATCTCTCTCACTTGAGGAAAAAAAATTAGACAACTTCAGCATATAGAAGACAGCTGAAGCTATGGCAAAAGATAAGACCATTTTGGTAAGTGCAGGTGTGTAGAATAAAAGGAAAAGATAGCTAAGACAGAGATAAAAGCATCACCAATATTTAAGGAACACCAACACCTAAGAAAAAAGGTAAGGAAAGAGTTAGCTCTTCTTCTCCCACTGAGAAAGAGAAGCCAGAGAATCAGAAGACACAAAGAAAAGATTTTTAAAAATACATTCAAGAAGATTAAATTTAACTTTGTTAAATGATGTCAAGAGGATCCAAACTGACCCCATAGTCAGCATGCTCCTGGGCCACTGTTTCAGCCATCTTCTGCCATTCCCAGGACAGTCACCACTCCACAGAGGTCTCCAGTGTGTGGTTCTATCCCTGTGTCTGGCTCTTCAATGATCTGGGCCACTTGACCACAGCTTGGGAACCCTTGGTCATACCTGCCAAGCACATGCTCCCCACACCAGGAGCAAGCAGTAGACTCTGGGCAAGTATCTTTCCATCTCTAGACTTTCTAAAATCTGAAGTGCTCTAGGCCTACCTCAGCAGAGCACAGGTAGAGGGGTGAAGTATGCACACCAGACCATGAAGGCAGGCAAAAAACTGAAGACCAGGCCAGCCTAGCACCTACATGTTAAGGGAGAACTTCCTGTTCTAAAGCTTAGCTGAGCCTAGAAAAGGGGCCTCTGAACTCTGAGCAAGCTCCGCCCCTCCCCCATCAGAGTACAGCATCAGATTATCCTGAACCTCTCCAGAGGCTGCATCCAGGGTGAGGGCCTCCCTCTAGCCAGCCTCACCTCTTCGGGTCTTGCCCTCTCCTTCAGACCAACAACCCACCTAGAAAGCCTCTGAACAAGCTTCTCAGTCATGCAGTGCTTTTCAGCAGGTGATCCTCAACCTTGGTAAGCAGAGAAACAACCCTAAACTTCATGGGAGCTTTAAGAAACCAGAGAAGGCAAAGGAAAAGTGGGACAGGTACAGAAGGTGATCAAGCGCCAAATCCATATCAAGTATCATTTCTTTAAAAAGTTAAAGGAAAATTAATCTGCACTCGCTAAATTTAAACCTGCCTAGCAGGATCTGTGGCTATCGCATCAAAGCCCTATAAACCTGGAGTATCAACTCATCGGGCTCTGACAAAAGATGGACACAAAATGATTTTGTCAGCATGGGAGCAGATTTCTTTTATCCAGTGGGATTTTCTGCTGCCACTTCAGTTCCCATTTCTCAGTGCTGCACTAATCAGCCTCTTTCCACAAAAGTGATGTGAAGCTGCTTTGGGGGGATGGGGGTAAGGGCAGCGATGAGAGGGAGGCATGCTTCCAGAATACTAGAGTGTGAAATGAAAATATTTGCTGAATTCCTTAGACTTAGTTAAATCTGGAAATGGATGTCAAAATAAGAAGTAAGCCACAGACTAACAACTTGTGAGTGTCAATTTAACACCACCCTTGTCAGGCTCATCAGCAGCCTTTACCAGGCGAACAAAAAGGTGATGGCTCTGCCGAGAGCGACTGACGAGAGGTTCCAGGAACACGGATAAGCTGTGCACTGTCACGCTGCACTACTTAAGTTTCCTCTCTGGCTGTTTTTTATTTTGTTACACATTTAATTAAGAACCTTCCCAGCAGTTGTGCAGAGTCCTGCTTCTAAAAGGCAGTCACAGAGCCTTCCTCCCACCACTGCCACCTGCTTCCTCCTGCATCCGCTTCCCCAGGGCCTCACAGGCCTTCTCCAAATAAACCCAAATCAGCATCAAAGTCCACCCTACCCATCCCTTTTAGAAACTATGCCATCTTAGAATTCAATTCTGTTTAGCTACAAATCTTTAACTCTCATAACCTTAGGAGGGTTTTGTTTTGTTTGCTTCATGAATAAAAGGGAGACACGACCAGAGGCAGTGGTTAGGAAGACCAAATGAGGCAAGGTTATGTGTTCTTAATAATTTGGTTTCCCTTCATATATGCTTGGATTCCACAACACAATCCATGTTTCCAATTACCTAATTTCTTGTGAAGATACAGGGCAGTGTCCTGAGTCACCAACATCTGTCCTAAACACACTGTGTTGCAGTACATGCAGAATCAGAAGGCTACACTAGAGCTCCAGGCCAGAATATTCTAGACCCAAAATGACAACCCCTCTGAAACTGTCTATCTCATGGGGAGACCAAGTCCAAGCTTAGGAAGCCCAGCCAGATGGTCTCCAGCCTTACGCACAAGTGTTTTCATATATACACCATTCGCTATTGCAGCGGAAGATTCTGAAATGTGGGCCTTTGAAGATGAATGCCAAAGAGAAAAACAGTGGTAGAGTGGGAGTTCTAGTAAAGCTACCTGGAGGAACTGGATCTCTGGACTGGGCCAAAGTGCTTTCCTCCTGTCCCACATAAGCTCTAGAAGGCTGGGTAGCAGCCTGATCCTGCCCTGCCCTGCTCTGTATAACATCTCCTGGGCTGCAGAGCCCTACATAACTCCTGTCCCAGCTTCAAGGGCTCAGCACACCACCAACAAGAACAAGTCTTCCCTTCCACATCTTCTCCATGACTTCTCTGATTCATATCTGCTTCAATCCCAGCCTGTGTAATTCTTCTGATGAGTGCCATGTAGAAGAGTGGAGACCCCTGGAGCACTCACTGTGTACACACCCTAAAGGGTTTGGCAGGTGAAATGTGTGTGTGTGCTGATGTGTTCTAGGGTTTGTTCTTCCTCCTGACCCCATTGTAGAGTTGGGGTTCAATACAGGCATGACACCCACCAGGGTGCATAACTCGAGCTCAATTTCCAGTGTCCAAAAGGACCTTGGTGAGAAAAAGTGCCTGTTTTAGTAGAAAATGTCACACCAGAGCCATTACTGCCCACCCCCCACCAATACCCACCTTATGCTCAAGAGTGCTCTCTCTCTCACGCTCTCTCTCTCTCACACACACACACACACACACACACACACACACACACACACAACACACACACACACAGAATGCTTGCTGCTGTCTTCAGTGACAAAGAACATAGAGATATCGATTCTATCAATCCTCAGCAAACAGTGCCCCCACCACCTCCACCCCTCCATTAGTTCCCTGGGGGCTGTCTGAAGCCAGGTATCCATGAGGACAGACAAGATGCAGAAGTGTCAACCCAGCAAAGAAACCAGTTGTCATCTGTAACTGGGGCATGATCAGGAGACAAAGGAGAAAAAGCAGTGGTGACAAAGGAGAAAAGAGGAGGCTGGTGACATGGGCAGCTTCCTAGAAGCAGCTCTCTCTTATCTGACCACGAGGCTCTCAATTAGATCACCGGGGTCTTACATGGAAGATAAAAGGGTGGCATAGTGTAATAGTTAAGGACAAGGACACTGGAGCTAAGCTGACTGGGTTTGAATCCTGGCTCTGTGTATCCTTGGCAAGTTACTTAACCTCTCTGTGCTTAATGTTCTCAGTTATAAAACAGAAATAAGAATAGTACCTACTTTATAAAATTGGTAAATGCATTATTACTTCTAGAACTCTCAGAATAGTAAATATATGTATTTGGTTAAATATTTTTTTCAAGACCCTCTTTTTGCATGTTTGTAGTATTAGGGATTGAACGCAGGGCCTGCATATGCTAGGCAAGCACACTACCAGTGAGCTACATCCCTAGTCCTTTTGATTTTACTTTGACACAGGGTCTCACTAAGTTGTTGAGGCTGGTCTTGAACTTATGATCCTCCTGCCTCGGTAGCTAGGATTACAGATGCTTACTACCATGCCAGGCAACACCCTCTTTTAACACCTTCCTTCGAGAGATCATATGCAGCCCAGCAATCAATAGGGATGTCATGAGGAATGAATCTTGGCAAAGTCAGGAAGGTCCCAACAACAGCAGTCTAGGCAGGGCCCTCAACTTAATCTCACCCTGCTCCAGAAAGGTGGAAGGCAGGACTCCCAGCCCTCCTTCATCCCTGGTAGCCCCAAAGACCCAGGCATCCTTGCCCAGGCTGCCTGCAGGCTTAAACACATGTGCCTCTGAAAGGTAAGCCTGGTCCCACAGAGTCCAAGCCCTGGCAGCAAAGGAGCCCTTCTCATACTCACATGACTTTTAAGTCCCAGTCTCCACAGGTGACAAAAATTGACTTGACGTTTGGATCTAAAAGGCCTTCCTTCGCCATCCACTCATGGACCCTCTGAAAAGTACACAAAAACAGATGAGATTTTCCTTTATTCCCTCACCACCCCCCAAGTCTATGAAGAGTCACAACAATGAAACACAGATAAGCTGCTTGTAATCAGAGCAGGAGAAAATCGTAATCTTATTCGACTTAGCTCAGAACTATGGAGGCACCTGGAGGATGATCCCTTTAGGAAGACCTACAAGCCTAAGTGTGTGGGAGGGCTGGACCCTCCAATTCCCACTGCCTGGCAGTTGGCCCCTAATCCAGCAGGTCAGTCCAACAGCCTGCTCTAACTTAGTTGTTCCTCTCATTGGTCCTCCGACAAAGGTATAGCCCAGCAAAGACTATCCTGGGCCATGAGAATAGTCCAGAAGGAGGCCCCAAGCAGGTACTCCAATCCATAGCTTTGTTCATTCACTTATTCATTTCACTCTTCCACCCAATGTTTACTGACCAAATTCATAAATTTAGGGGCTGGGGATTTAGCTCTGTTGGTAGAGTGCTTGCACAAGGCTATGGGTTCAATCCCCAGCAACTCTCACACACACACACTCTCTCTCTCTCTCTCTCTCTCACACATACACACACACACACCAAAAAACAAAACAAAACAAAAAAAAAACCCCAAATTTATGAATTTGGTAATTTTTCAAATGAATGTGAAAAAAATTTCATCTTCAGAGGAGGCTCTTTTGCTGGGCTGAAGCCCCATCCTGGCATCTGGGTAGCACTGCCTATTCCTATTGCTAAAAGCTCATAAATCAACCATGTCTTTCTCCTTTTCCCAGCTGAGGATTCAAATTTAGCAGAATATTTTGAAGGCTAGCTCAAATCCTACACAAGGGAAGAAACTATTCCTAAACATACTTTACATCTTTCTTTCCCTCTGAATGATTTTACTGTTTGCACTCACACTGGAAGTACAAATACTAAAATCAGTATATAACGAGAGAATTATCATGAAGAATTCATGAAGCACTGCCTATTTTTTAGAAGATCCTAGGCATGAGGAGGGAGTGCAGCAAATCACACCACTGCTTCTATGCACACAGGAGGATTATTTTTTAAGACTGTATCATATAGTTGTTAAAAATGCAGGATTAAAAGTCAGACACATCTGGGTTCCAACCATTGGCTCTTCCATATCCTGGCTGTGTCATTGATGGGCAGTCATTTAAAAGTCATTTAACCCCTCTAAACCTCAGTTTCCTTCATCTATAAAACAGGGTAGAATGACTAACCTTACAGAGTTGTTCTGAGAATTAAGTTGGATAATGTGTTAAGGGCCTAGTACAAAATAGGACAGTAGGCTGAGAAGGGGAGAATGGCAGATCATCATGAAACAATACAACAGATACAGCAATGGAGAAGTGACCAAAGTGCTAGAGGACCAGGAGGAGGAAATGGCTACTACTGCAGAAGCAAAGATATAGGCATAATAATTTTGTATTTGAGAGGCATTATTTGTTTCATGTCTGTCTTCCCTACCAGACTAAGCACCATAAATGCAGAGGCACTCACTGACTTAACTGTTCACTGACCCTAATCCAGCACAGTGTCTAGTCAAAAGATATTTCCTGAACTAACTAAAACACAAGCAGGTACAAGTTTAGTTGTGCGTGAAATCCACAGGAGGGATAAGAATGAGGCTGGGGGACTAGTTAGGCCAGACTGCGAAAAGCCTTGGGTGACAACCAGGTAATGGAAAACCCATGGGTACCTTTAAGTAAGAGTACTTCTAGGAGGTGTATGCTGACTCCACAAACACCCCTGAGATACTGGAGGCGTGGCTCATGCCAAAGAAGTCCTTGAGCAAGGCCAAAGATCCTATTTAGTTTCATGGCTGTAGCAGGACGACACCCAGAATGTCAGAGCTGCTCCCTAGTATCAGACTATATAGACCATGTCATCTCTAAACCCTCTTCATAGACTGTATGCCAGAGAAAACTCCTCAGCAGTGTGTCTGGGCCTTCTGAGTAATCATCTCCCCAGTCATCAGCCCAACCCCCTGCATACATGCACATGTACCTGTGGACACACCAGTACATCCTTTCCCTGGGGCTACCTAAAGAAAATAAGGCAGACTTTCCACAGGAAAACAGGTAAGGTGAACCTGCTGGACTACATTCCCAAGGTAAGTGTCCCATGTGCTACAAGGGCTCCCAATGCCCCAACTCCTACACAGCAGGACAGAACAGGACTGTCGGGAAGCCATGCCTAGCAAGACCACCATGAGACAGAAGCCCTTAATACTCACTTATGCTGCACTTAGTGAGCACCTTTTGTATAAGTCCAAAGAAGTAATACTACATTTGGAATCAGGCCTGTCCTTCTTGCCTGCTATGCCTGAATGAAAAAAGGATTAGAGGAACCACCAAGACAACCCCAATCAGCTGGCTCTGGCTTCTCAGTTACTGACAGCCTGGTAGGGCCTAGCCTGAGCTCCACTTAGAATAAACAAGCCAGGCAAGCCTCTTGCTGGCTGCCTGCTCAGGACATTGGTTGGGACAAGAAATTAGCTTTAGCTCTATAATCGACTCAGGATTAATGGGACCCATCTAGTTTCTTTGTCCTGCCAGAAACTTTTTATTCAAGCTGATGCCAGGAATCTTCCCTTCTCACCCACAAAGTATGCTGAAGTGTCAGAAAATAGCTTTCTGGGCAAGACTGAGAAATCCTCTAAGCACCCTGCTCTGGGTCTAGCTTGGGGTTAGCAGAGGGTTGCCTTCTGAAGACTACATCTCCCCATCAACTGGGGGCATGGATAAAACACCCTGCATCTCAACAGCCCTGGTTTGGTGCTGGCTCACAGCAAGCATTCTCCTGACAGAATCCCAGCCACAGACATTCCTAGGAAAAGCTGTCTGGCCTGGCCTCCCACAGGGGCCAGGCCCTGACTGGAGATGCTGCTGGCTAGGACACAGGGAAGGATCGGCCTCTTTCTCCTTGAGTCTGGTCTTACAGGGAGTGGCCCATGCTGAGGAGCTCCCTCAGTTACAGCAGTGGATCTCCCCTCAAAATTAAATAAAATAAAATAAGTCAATGGGGTCAGAACGCTTCCCAGAGTACCTTCTCCCAATCTACTGCAGGTGCCCAAACCCTGACCCAATCAGAGGACAAGAGTACAAGCCACCACTGAGGGGAGCCTAAACCTTCCTCTTGGAGCCTGTTACATCCTGAGGAGCCCCAAGAAATTCTCTCTTCCCATGGGACAGGATTCTCTGCTAATGGGAGAAATCTGGTGCCCCTGCCCTGCCACTACCCTACTTCCTCAAGGCTGTCCACCTCCCAGGCAGATATGCCCTGCTAGTTTGCTATGCCTCCAAATATGTGGCTTCTTCCCGAGCATTGATTATGTCCGAGCTTTGGGTTTATTGGTCTTAAAAACAAATAAAGCACCTAATGAGACCCACAGGCCTTTTCTCCTCTCCCCTCCCCCTAGAAACTTCTCCCCCTCAGAAAACCGAGATAGGAGGAGGGGATACGCAACCTAAGACCAAGCACCACCCTTCCTTATTCCCTTGGGCTAGGGTACAAAAAACAGTGTCTTAACCTTTTCCAGCTCCCTGAGGAAAATATCCTAGAAGTGTGGTCTCTGCCAAGGGTTCTAAAGTCTTTAATTTGATTTCCTCACATAGGCAATTGTTGTAATTATTCTGATTAGGAATCATTACCCAGCGCAGCCTCTGCACCCCTGACAGGCACAAGGCATCCAGCAGCAAGCTGCAGTGGGGTAGGCGGGCCCAGTCGCAGCTCCTGGAGGAGCTGACAGCAAACAAAAGCCATCGATGGGGAGTTCTGGGTGAGTTAATGAAGTGCTCACATGCCACAAGAAGCCAACACTAAAGCTAAACAAAAACACCTCTAGTCCCGGGGGCTAGTTCCCCAGTGACACAGCTCAGCTCCCCTATGCGCCTGCCTGGGTGCACTGCAGGATGCCCCAGAGCCACCAGGGCAGGGCCAGAGGACAGGCAGGGTGGGGGCCCTTCTCCTGACTCCTGGCAGCACTCGGACATCTTGTCAGTAACCCTGACGGGAACAGCTGCAGATGACAGATCAATGGTTCAATACTCTCAACAGCATGTCACTGATGTGACAGCAAATGTTATTCTAATCAAGCCATAATCATAGTCAAATTACACGGCTATATTCTCAGGAGGGGAGGGAGAGAAAGGAAGCAGGAAGGGATCAGAGGTCAGTAAATAAAGGTCATTCAACCTACCTCCAGCACTTGCTCCAGGCTTGGCTGACCATCCACCATGGCTTGAATAATCCCGGTGAGCTGAAAAGAAAGAGAAACAGCCTTTGGGTGGAAAACCAGGACACAGACTCAAAGCTGGACCAGCTCCTTCCCTTTCTTTCTCCTTCTATTGTAAAGGTCTCTGACCCTGCACTGTCTCCAGCTCAGAATCCACTAGGAGCCTTAAAAATAAAAAGTCCCAGGACACTGAGTAAGCTTTCCCCACAAGATGGGAGCACACAAACATATTCTAAACACAGGGTGTATCTTGTACCCATTTCAGCTTTCATTTTGGAAAAAAAAAAAATATTTTAAATTTCTATTGTATTCAAAAGGCTCAATAACTTCCCCCAAAATACAGCCTGAAGTAAATTCAACTCCAAGCTTCACAGAAGTTCCTGTAAAACTTGGGGGGTACTAGCACAGGATAGGCACAATTGGTTTCAAGTCCCCCTCCTCTGAGCCTTCATGTCCAGAACTCACCCCTGCCACACTCTCCATCATACCAGTGAAGCCTCACAGGCATCTACCCTTCACCCTGCACACCTGGGTCCTCAATACTGACGAGCCAAAGAGAAAAGAGGTGCCTATAACCAATGAGGAAACTAAAACCAAAAGCCTGATGTACAGAATCTGGCCTAGAAAATATCTGGCTCACAGGCCCCTGCTCCTCCTAGATCAAACAAGCTTCTTCTTCTACTTTGTTTTGTTTTTAAGTAAAAATATCCCTCAAGCACAGACTAGGGAGAGACTGCCTACAAGAATCTGAGGCATGAGGACCCCTCTCCTGGACATTGGTTAGAAATCAGCCAAAAACCATGGGCCCAACGTGCCCCTGGCTACTTCCAGAAAGAGTAGTATCTCAGGCTTACTTGGAAATAACTTTTTTTTTTCCAATGGGGGAAGGGGTTTAAAACTCCAATTAAACTTTAATTTCATTTAATGAATTCAAAATACCCAACTCATAGAAACCACCAGCTCTAAGAGGGAAGGTTATTTTCTCATAGTGACTTACATGGAATGGTAATACACACCTTTTAGGGAAGAAATTTTCATTTTAAGAATGCTGAGTTCCTCTAGGTGGGATTCTGTAGTTCATCAAGTCATTATTAGGTGGTATTTTAAGGAAGTGTAAGGACACAGCCACTCTATTTTATATTCCAGAAACTGTTTTTATATTAATCTGTATTTTAATTGGGTAACAGCTGCTGCCTACAGACTTCCCATGGTCTAAAAGGAAAATAAATTAGAAAGATTAACTACGCTGTTGTTTCACAAGGCTTTAACCCACAGCATGCCCACCCGGCTGGCACCTCCACACCCTTTCCTTGCTTGGGAGAGCAAAGAACTGCCCAGCAGAGGGAGGGCCTGAGTCAAGGAAAAGAAAAGACGGGTCTTCAGAGAACTGTGGGGGGCAGGGAAGGCGGCCCTGGGTCAGCCACTTTAATCTTGGGAGTACAAAGGACTTTTCCTTTTATTTTGCCAATAACTATTCCCCCAAGCACCTACTATGTGCTAGGCCCTATCCTAGGAATCAGGGATCTAGCAGTGAAGAAAACATAACCCTTCCTTAGGGGAATCTGCATTCTTCTTGGTGCCCCCTCTTCCACCCAGTGGTACCCTAAGCCTGTCTACCTTCCAGAGCTACACAGTAAGCGGGAAGGTCCTATTTTGTCTCAGGCGTATAGGGGCCAAAGAGAATCAGGAGTAGGCCTGATCTCAACTCCAGGTCCACTCTCCAGATTAGTAAATGACACCCAGGCACCATCGTTGCCAATTCTGACCCAACTTCTCTCCTGCCAAATTCTTCCATGGCCTTGGCTGGGACTTTGGAATGTTCTTAGCACCACTTCCATTGGCTCCCTGTGTGAGTGAGAATTGAAGCCCTTCAAGGTACAGCTCATCTGAGTTACCCTTGGTGGGAGCCAAGAGGAGTGACTCTGACCTTGCCCCAGGAAATTTGGACTAGACACAAGGCTGACATTTGCACCCAGAGCTTTCTCAGAAGTGGGAGTAGCTGTGAACCTTCTTTTCCATGACCCTCCTTTGCAGACAGGACTAAGGTCCCCACCCATGTACCCCACAAGTACCTGCCCTGGACTTCAGGAAAATTATAGATGGGTAAGAAACTCACTATACCAAAAAGGAAAACTGGGGATCTACTCAGATGTCCTGTTCCAAGATTTCTCACTATAGACAAGGCCCACCTCTTCCCATCTTGGGCTGGGGGAGGGCTCTGGCATCCTGGAGTTTCACGAACTCTACTCCCATGATCAGTAACCCCAGCCTAGGAGAAGCCTGGTGAGGTCAGCTTCTCTCTGCCCATGCTTCCCATAGAATAAGCATTTTCACTGTGACGCAGCCAGGCATGCTCACAGCTGAGTTCCTAAAGGATCTGAACTTGACCCTCAGAAACACAGGGGCTTATATACTGGTTCAATCAGACATAGTCTTCTAGGAGAAGGCCTAATGCCCCATTGCTTATCTGTCAGGAGCAGATTCTCAAGGTAAGGAAAGGCCTTGCAAGGGAATGAAACACAGCTCATCCTAGCTCTGTCAGTGCTGCAAAGGCACTGGATATAGAAGAGGTAAAATTAAGAGAATTAGTCCCCTACTTAATACTGACAAACTGTTAACACTTATATAAAAAACTGTGGGAGCTGCGGCTGTGGCTCAGTGGTACAGCACTTGCCTAGCACGTGTGAGGCACTGGGTACAATCCTCAGCACCACATAAAAATAAATAAATAAATATCTTGTGTCTATCTACAACTAAAAAAAAAAAATATGTTAAAAAAAAAAACTGTGAGGGAGAGAGACAAGTTTATAAAATAAATATTGGGCAGTTCTATCTTAGGCCTAACTTAAATCCTTCCTGCTGCAGTTTAAGCCCATTCCTACTTAGGTTAATATATGTTTGTAATAAGCTTTCACATCCTCACAATGAAAGGTACTAGAGCAAAGCCAAGTATTATTAAGCTGAGAACCAGGGCTCACAGGCTAAACAGAGCTCAGAGACCTTAACCACTTAAAGCAGGAGAGGTGAGAGAAAGAATTAATGTGTGTTCTGTAGCTCCTTTCACTGAGGGATTACAGATTAACTCCCACTTCTCCAGACTCGGAAACCACAAGCAGAGGGGCTTTTGACCCTGACTGATAACATGGCTGGTTACTGAGATCCCCTACCCACACAAGGGCTTTGTCTAGGGATGATCTGGCTTCTTCTTAAATACTAGCAACTTCAGGAAGCAGCCCAGGAAACTCGCTGCCAATAGCATGTCAGCATCCAGTGCTTTCTCCTTTCACAGTTTATCTCCAACACAATCGTATTCTGACACCAAGACAGTTTGTTGATTACATAAGCACTTGTCTCTGGTGTACAATCTGATAATAAAACCTACTCTTTCTCCTCAGACAAAGAGACCAATAAATCTCACCCTTTTTAAGTACAGGTGCAAGACAAAAGCCCTTCACTGGCATTTAGCAAAATGAGTATTTTTCCAGTTTTTCATGCAACAACAACAACAACAAAGACTGCACATGGTGAAGGACTATGAAGCAGCTCAGCTGCTAGCGACAGAGATGTGCTGATGTGCTGGAGCAGATTCTCAAGGTAAGGAAAGGCCTTGGGAGGGAATGAAACACAGCTCATCCTATCTGTCAGAACCGGTCTCCAGGCAGACTACCAATTGGAACTAAGAAAGGATCTCAAGAAGGCTTACACGGAGCCTCAGAAGTAAGAGTGTCTGTATGTGGGCTAAGCACCCAAGGGAGAATTCTTTTTCCTGTTGTCTCTCTTCACACAAGATTGTGTTCACCTGTGTACTTGCCACATGCACGTGTGCACACGTGTATGTACACACATGCACAAGCTCAGGTTCATAAGAACTTGTTGTACACAAGAGAAAATCCCACCAGAATAGCAGCTTGGATACCATCTGAAAGGGCTTGGGGTTGTTACACTTCCTAACAAAAAATGACCTCCACCCCTTCCCATAAAGGCAGCTACTGTCAGGGTGGGTGAAATTCCAGAACAGCCTCCATCCTATGTCTATGCTTCTCTCTGTGATACAGCTCTACCTGGTATGAAGACAAAGCGATATTTAGATAATCTGAAGTTTTAAAAAAAAACTTTACTTACTCAAAAGAGCAAGTCAGGAGTACAGTTGCTTTTGGGGGAGATGGGAACAACTCCTTGACAACATCTGTCTATCTACAGAAGACACTTCAAGTGTTTTCTATTCAGTATCAGACCCTAATGATGAGGTAGAGAGGAATCAGGTCTAGTTCTGTCCTCAAGGAACTCACAGTCTAGTAGGGAGACAGATAGTTAAAAGTATAATGTGTCTGATCAGTGCAAAGCTGGGGCAAGCACAACCCAGGCTGGGATCAGGGAAAGCTTCCCAGGGAAGGTGACCGTTAACAGACTTCTAGAAGACAACAGGAGGTAGAGGGAGGAGAGCGGCAGTGGTGTACAGGCAGAGGAACCACCACGTGCAAACATGAACTATGGAAGGACAGTCTTTGGGTGAGAGGAGCCAGGTGGGAGATGAAGCAAGGAGATATGAGGCTGGACAACAAAGCAGGGGCCAGGTCATGGAGAGTTTTGAGCTCTGAAGCCCGAGACAAAATGACCCAGTGCCAGCAACACAACCATAGTCTTATTTCACAAACAGGCTTCATAGCAATATCCCAACCATACTCCTACTCCCCCTCAAATTATGCATATATGTCCTTGGGTGAAACTGTCTAAAAAGAAGAAACATGGCTTTCCTCACATTCATTCAATGCTTCTTCCCCTCCTCCTAATAGCAGGAGCAGCAGCCCTGCTCTGGTGAAAATCTCTCTGGTCCCCATATGTTCTATGAAAAGCTAATTGCCAGGCCCAAAAGATGTGCTTGCATTAACTACTAACCAGACCTAAGTTTTCCCTAAGTGGCCTATATTGAGCACTCTGGATACTCTGGAACAATGGTGGTAAACAGTCCCAAACAAGCAGTAACCTTTCCAAAACCAGAGTCTGCCTGGAGCCCAAAAGGTATAGGCCTCACACAGAGGATGAAGAATAGGGCGAGAAGACTTTAGACTTTTGAGCCAATGGAGGGCTCAGGTGACTGGCTTCCCTCCCTTCCTAAAAGGAAGAGAATTTTCACCATATTAAAATGGAGATTTTTTTTTTTTTTTTTCAAAAGGAGCCAAAAGGAAACATTAGTTTCTCCTGGAACTTACCTCTGGTGAGTTCCAGGAGAAAGCAGGGAAACCAGGAGATAAAAATAAGGAAAAACCTCAACATCATTAGTTAGAACAAAAGCTTAAAAGACCAGACATCTGCCACGGATGGCAAATTCTGACGTTAAGTCCAGGTGACCTTGCACCTTGGCTGTCAATCTAGAGGTCAATGAGATGCCCAACTCTATCTATCAAGCAGGCCCCCCTGCAGCCTACTCCACTCCAGAGATGTCTGGGATTACTTAAGAACTTCTCTCTTCCTGTTCCGTTCACAGGTAGGACGTAGGTCTCTAAATGAAGGCACACAACCTCTAATACCTCAGTGCCAAACTCCTAAAAGATCCCAGAACATTCACATTTTCCCATCACCTCTGTTACTACATGTATCTGACTCATGATTCCACCGCAGGATGCAAAACATGACATGTCATGGGGAAAGCATCCACAGAAGGCTTCTCCTCACTGTACTGGAGGTCAGAACTTTCAGGGGCTCCTTCCCTCTGCCAATGGCTCTTCTGAGCTTTCAGCAAACCTCAAAATCTCGGTCAGTCTCAGTTTTATAATCTGTAAAACAGGGTCAGTATAATCTGCTGACAAGGTGGCCAGTACAGTACTAGCCAGGGTAAGGATCTTTCAGCCTTGGCCAGCCTATCTTCTCTTTCCTTGGTAATAGTGTGTGCTTCCCACAAACTCAACCAATGTTCCATACAGGATCATTTTACAGAAGGATAGAAAGCTAAGAAAACCTGAACATAACATTTCCTTCCAAGTGGCTGAAATCTTCACCTCTTGCCAACTGACCCTAAAGAAAATAGAACTAGAAAGAATCTGTGACCCAGGAATACCATCTCAGACTCCAACTGCCCAGTCGCCAGGAAAAGCAGGAATGATAAGGAAGGGAAAATGTTGGGGAAGCTGGATTAGGTTGTGCTACTGCTCTCCCTAGAATTCCAGGCACAAGTGGAGTCACAACTTTATGAAAAGCTAATTACCAGGCCCAAAAGATGTGCTTGTGTTAACTACTAACCAGACCTAAGTTTTCCCTAAATGGCCTATATTGAGTACTAATAATCCCAAAGTTCTCCCAGAAGCCCTTGCTACTCAACTCCAGGGCCCTTACCTCTGTACAGAAGGGGGTAAGCTGTGGATGAACTACAGGCTGGACATACATGTGAAAGGTGGACTCAATCTCCATGGTCCGGCCATTTAGTTTCAGGATGGGGAACTCGATGATTTCCTGCAATGCCAAAAACACAGAAAAGGAAGTTAAGTTATTTTAATCAACCATTTCAAATGATAACTCTTTAAGAAAGAATGAATGTTTGGGGCTCATGACTCCTTCCAGGCCAATCCCAAGGCTGAACAAGATGGCACCAGCATGGTTATAGTCCTAACCCTCCCACTGCTAGTAGCCTCACAGGCTCCTTGGACTAGACAAATACCTGCTTCCTCCCCATTGTTTCTGGAAAGGGGAAGAAAGACAGTGGTATAATCCGCCACAGTTTCTCCAACAGATTCTCTAGCAGAGGCCTGCTCATTTGAGCCCCTAAAAAGAGACCCTCCTTCCTTTTTCCAAGTTCCCTGTCCAGGAATGAGTCTGGATCTCTCGCCATATAGACAATCAGCCATCAGACCAGTTCATAGATTTCCTTGCATGAAGTTTAAACAGAGGTGTGAGTTTCTTTAGTTTTTATGAGGGGGAAAAAAAAGAAAGATAAATAATAAATAAAGCAAAGCCAAAGGAGATACCAAGAGAAGCAGAAAACTGAAGACAAGTAATAGGAGCTAGTGCCTCCCACCTTTCTTTCAGGCAGTACATGCTCCCCCTCTTATATCCACCCCCAACCGGCCCTCGCCCAATTGCTTAGCCAGCCCTTCCCAGTCCACTGGAACGTAATGGAAGAGAAGGAGGAGGAGTGACAATTTGTTTGGTGTCTCTAAGATTAATTTGTCTCCGTTATTTAATAGAGATGCACAGCATCAAGGTCCTGGTGTGCAAACAGGCTTGCAGAATGCTGGCTGTGCAGCATGTCTCATACATCGCTCCTGGGAAGGGAGGGACACACCAGAGGGGGGAGAGGGCAGGAGAGCACACGCGCGCCAGAGAGAAGAGGGAAAACAAGAAGAGAGAATAAAAAAAAATATTGCTTTTTAATATTCAAAAACAGTTTGCAAAATTTAATCAAAGCAGAGGAAAAGCTAACATTTTTACCACTTTGACATTTTTATTAGCGCTTTCATAAATTTTTAAAACATGAATGGAATTAGTTTACAACACACACACACATACACACCAAAAAAACTGCCCTGAAAACATCTGGAAGAGACAAATAGGAAATAATAAAAAATAAATAAATAAAAGCAAAATCTTCCAAGTCAAATTAGCATGTGGAAAAGGCCTCCACTGCAGAGAGAAAAGGGGGGCTTTGCTCACTCAGTGGCCCCAACAGTCAGCATCCCTGCCTCTGAACCCCCATTCTAGAGGGCACTTTTTCAGTATCTCTGAAATCAAGGCCAATTGGTTCTCTTCAGAGACAGCCTGGGGAAGCGACAGAGGGGCTGATGACACCTGACAGCACTGGGGAAATGGATGGGTGGGAAAACAAAAGGAGAAATAGTCATCTCCTGATGTCCCAGGGAAACCACGTATCCTCCCCTGAAAACATACCCGCTAATATTGGGCTTATTTTTAAAGCACTGATTTCAATCCAACACATAACAGCAGGACTGAAAAACCAAATCAGGGCAGTCAGATTTCATGCCAGAGAAATTCAAAGGTTCTGGTTGCCTGATCTCTCTGGGCTGATCCCCAAAGATGGGGAAGTTGACAGGAGCTTATTGCCAAGCATAGGAAGGGCAAAATAGCTGCAAGGCGGAGGCAGAGGGGAGACAGAGGAGGAGGCCTGGGATGCTGCTTAAGACTTAGTGATAGCTCTCTCCTCCTAATGCAAAGAGAAAAGAAAACTCATTCCTCAATTCCCTAGGCCTTTTGTTCCCCACAAAGCATTACAAAGCAGCCCAGAGAGAAAAGGAGTTTGCTCTGAAAACCAAACGTGAACACACACATACACAACATACACACTGGTCCCCCTGAAAAATAAGATATTTAGATTTCCAAGAGCCAACTCTGAAGTGCATCCCATCTGCGTTGGGCTCATTTGACTCCTGAATTTCCTTCCACAAATTCTTCCCTTCCACTAAGTAGGAGAAACACTTCCCCCAATAGAAAGAGCCCCATAGCTAGTGAGTTTGGCTGCCCTGGTATCTAAGGAAACAAATACAGCCAGCTCCTCACTAACAATGTTAGCTGGGCCCACAATGAAATTTAACCTGTGACACAACTGTACTTTTCATTTAAACTTTCATTTGAGAGAAGCAGTGTTTGGAGACCTGCAGTTTGTCCTGCTAATAAAGACAAGTGTTGGGACCTTTAAGGATGCCATTCATCTTTGGCTTTTATTAAATTCAATTTTCTTAAGCCCATGATACATTATGAAATTAGGAGTTGACATTCCTCTGGAAACAAAAATATCTATCAAACATAAATAGAAAAAAACTCCTCTATTACCAAGAATTTATGGCTTAAAGTTGATCTCTTTCCACTTTTTTACAAGCACATGGTTTGTTTTAGATATCTGAAATGCTATTATAGACCTGGAATTTCATTAGTATTTATTATAAAATTGTACATACTCCAGCTCCTGCTCTGACCAGCCCTAAGTCAGCATGCCCAACAGATTCCCTAAAAACTTGGCCTTCGGGTTTCCCCACTGCAGGTTAGTATTCAAACTTCCCTCCTGCTGGCTTCCTTACCTATAGGGAAATGGAGCTGATGGATTTGCTTGAACTCAATGCCACCCTCCCTGAGACAAAAAAAACAAGCCACCTCAGCTCCATGTGGGGAAAAAGGCATGGACCCCTTTGATGCCTGGACCCACTGACCAGGACACATCAGACTGGGCCTATCATAAACATACCTTTCTGATGTTGCTAGCCCATCAGTCAGGAGTATTCCCCAGTAACAAGAGGGACCTTACAAGAGCCAGTCTCAAAACATGACTGCAGGAGCCCTTTGGCTGCACAGGAATTGTTAACAATGAGCCTGCACATTGGCATATTCATTTAAGCCACTGAAGATGCAAAAGAAGAGCTCTTGATAAAAAGCCTTCAGAGAAGTCAGAGCAGAAAGGACCTCACTTATGTATTTCTTATCTTCCCATACCATTCAGCAAGTACAGACTTGAAAATATTGGGCCCAACATCCCAATCACGGAAGAGGAGGCCTACCTTGCACCAAACTGAGGTCACTACAGTAAGTGTACCTAAGTCATGCCAAACACTTCCTTGACAGTTTTTAGCTGATAATGATCAGAGACATAATCCCAATACTACAGGTTGATAGCATCGTTTCCAACCAAGGATTTGTGAAGATGTGCCCAGGTCCCAGCTTCTAAGTTCACTTGCTCGGATAATGAAACTATTATCCCTGTCCCTCTCTTTTCCCCACATTCAATTTCATCATTCCCTGAGAAAGAATTCTTTTCAGGAACAGTTGAATACTTGGGCAATGGCAGCACCAGAAAGGAAAAAGGAGCCAGTTTGTATTTACAAGCCCTCTTTCCTGCCCCTAATAACAGTTTCACAATTCCTTATCTTCATATGCCATTTGCACTCAATTAAACTACCTGAGTACCTACTGACATCATGAAGTGTTGGAGTGTGATTTAGAGATAAGACATAGTCTCTGCTTTAGAGAAGTACATGAACTAGTGAATATAAAAGATAAGTGAGCAAATAATGAACAGTACATTGTGATAAATACCTTAGTGGAGGGACATACAAAGTGTTATGCTTTTCTACTTACAAAAGTGTGCTTCCACATACATTTTCTCGTGACATCCACACCATCAGTAGGTCATAAACCAATACTATTTAGCACCTACTATTTACCAAGCAGGGACTAGATGAAAACATAGAGATAAATACAATGAGATGTGGTACCTCTCCCTGAGAAGCTCAAAGTCTGTGAAAAGGATGCAGAGTAGTCAATCTCCAACAATCTCCAGGACATGTGAAAAACAAAAGCATCTTATATCCTTCCATTTACTATGTACTCTGTGGCAGATGCTGTGCTAGGTGCCAAAAGGGAACAACTCACAAGGTGGGAATGGAATCATTACTATCCTTATTTTCATAACTATGGCCCAAAGGAGGTAAGTCACTTACTTATGTCTATAATGCCAGTAAGGGGTGAAGGTGAGATTCCAAATGGGAAAAAGTAGGGCTAGCAAGCTTTCAGAGTCTGATAGGTCAACAAGGTCTGATTCTCTTAATATGAAGGGCTACACTCAGTCTTACTGTCTCCTGGAAAGAGAGGCTGTTCTCAATTATAACAACAATGTATGAGGATTCCCAGGCAGAACGTTCCAGAGAATTGCCACTGAAAAGTCTCCAACATAGTTGCAGCTGCATGGATGACTCTAGGTTATGAGTTGAGGGAGGGCAAGAACCTTGAGCCTTCAGTTTATATCCTAAATCTATCTGTTCTGGTCCACAATCCTCACTCTCAATGTTGTTGAGCATACATACAAAGACGCTAACAAGTAGAAGACGGAAGAAGACAGCTTGTTTTTCCAAAGCATAAATTCTTCTCTGCCTGAGCTGATGTTTCCATGATTTTCTAGCTCTAACAGAAAACATTCTGCTTTCAGGGGACCTTCCACAGGTCACAGGGGTGATCTACCTGAGAAGACAAAGATGGTAAGTGGCAGAGCTAGGATTCAATATAGAGATATATAACACTCTAAAGTCCTTTCTCCTAGATCAACCACTCTCTCATCCCTAAGTGGTTTCTTCCCTCAACTGCTACAAACCACTAAGTTACAGACTTACCTTTAACCAGCTACCAAGTTTGTCCGCAGCCAAGGGTTTCAGGGAACAGAGGACTTTGGGTGCTAAAATAGGGATAGCTAAGCACCTACAAACTACCTACACCATTAGGTTGTCCAAGGGCAGAGCAAAATATCCAAAATGTTGGTCTGCTGATAGTGGATAGGAAACTGGCTACAACTTGACAATTGAGGAAAAATCCTCAGAATTTCAATTTGTCAAGTATCCAAAGTTTCAAACCTATTGTAACTATTGTCTCTCTCAATAAAATGCCAACTACAAATCCTGTAAAGGGGAGAGAAGACAGAGAAATAAAAGAGAAAAACCAGGCAAGTATTCATTCACCTT